TATCAGGTTCTGATGTCAAAAGGGCGAGGAGCAAGGACGAACAAGGCATACATCGCCATCTTTGTCTGTATGTCTACAAAGGCGATTCATCTGGAACTTGTCGGAGATCTCACGTCAGACGCGTTCATTGGAGCCTTTCGAAGGTTTGTAGCTAGACGTGGAAGATGTGCCCATATATGGAGCGACCAAGGACGCAACTTTGTTGGAGCTAACAAGCTTCTGGCCGGAGATTGGGCAGAAGCAAAACTACAATTCGAAGGTTCAGTCGCTGAGAAATTAGCCTTGGATGGAACGAAGTGGCATTTTATCCCTGCCTATAGCCCACACATGGGTGGATTATGGGAGGCTGGGGTGAAATCGATGAAATATCACCTAAAACGAATCTTAACAAAACACGTGACCTATGAAGAGATGATCACCCTGCTATGCCAAGTGGAGGCTTGCCTCAATTCAAGACCTCTAGGAATAATAGACGACACGAGTACCGACAACGTTCAACCATTAACCCCTGGTCATTTTCTGATCGGTGAAACACCTATTACTGTGCCGACCCCCAACTTGCAAAATATCCCAGTAAGTCATTTGTCACGATGGCATCATCAGCAGAGGTTAATGACTGAGTTCTGGCACAGGTGGCAACAAGAATACCTGTCACGGATGCAGCAACGTTCGAAATGGCACAACAAGGTCAAGGAGTTTGAGATAGGACACATTGTTTTAATAAAGTCAGATAACTTGCCTCCAGCTAAATGGATGATGGGACGAATTGTTGACAAGCATCCGGGCAAAGACGGTGTGACACGTGTGTATAGTGTGAAAAGTGGTGATAGTGTCGTGCAAAGACCATTTAACAAGTTATGTTATTTACCAATAGACACTGAATGATTATTTTTCTAGTTTGTGTTAATTTACCTCATTATCAAATGTAACTGCTAGATTACTAACGGCATAATCTTTAGTGTACCTATGTATTATAATATAATTAGATTTGCCTTATTATGATTGTGTTCTGTTAAAGGGCAAATAGGCCCTTTGGTGGGCGGTATGTTGTGTTAGAATCTGTTGCATATGTTGGTATGTTTATTAAGTACGAATGCATGTGTGTGTGTCATCATAAGAATCAGGAATCCATAATGTTAAACCAGTCGTAAATAAATCAGTGCAATGCAACCACGTATTTCTCTTACCTAAAATCCCCGCAAGCAAAAGTGAATCTTATTACTATAACAGAAGATATTATTAGAGGAGAATAAAATAAATAGTAAGGCAGGTTTCATGCTTAAACTGTCAAACACCGCGCTGTCACCGGTGACCGCAACCTGTTGTTCTATAATTGTGTCTATAATGACGGTACTCGACGAGTTAAAAAGGTTTTATGCTTGCTGCGGTTGGCATCCCATGTCACTTTAACCCCACCCTTAACTATAAGATTTTTTTCAAAGCAATAACTAATCCTATTGGCTATGTGCGCGACGGTGGCGACGCGTAGCGTTCACAACATTTGCGGAAGCTGTCAAATAATAACAATGTAAACATTATAATTTTCTTTGCAAATATAAATAAAACCAATGATTGAAATAGTACTGTTGACATTATTTAAGTGCAATTTATACAATAGTTTTACTGTAAAACGAATATAATAATAAAAACCGGGTTTGCATCATCCCCATTTGTTTCCAATTTCTGCCGTGTTGTGCGCTGCGGTCGTTATCTGTCCGCCACTACTCGCTTTGCACATAGCCAAAAGGATAGGTGTTGCTGTGACGAAACAATGTAACTAAGAATTGTATTGTGAACCTAATTGAAAAAGAGTAACTTATGGAGTTTCTTGCTCGTTCTCCTCCACAGGAATCTACACTTTGGAACGAGCAAATAGCTTCACTAGAGGACTGACCGACAGACTAACATTTTTGCTTTAATATTTAAATATTTTGTTTTGACGTTCAACAGTGCCTTCTTGGTCTAATTGAAAGAAATGATTTCGACTTTGTGTTGCAATACTCACTGTTTGTTCAGTATCACAGAGATGGTTCTTGTAGATTTCCTCGGCGTACGAGAGGTATTTGTTTGTCTTCTCCTTGATCAGCGCCCGCCGCTGTGGGTCCGTGTCATCTGTCAACAAGAAACAAACTAATTAATAACCGATTAATCGATTATAATCCCTAATTAATGGTTTAACCTCTTGTCCGTGTTGCGGAGAACCTAACGGGTATTTGGGGCTCCGGCTCGACGTGCAGGAGAAGGAACGGGGTGGTTTTTAATCAGTAAGAGTCTGACACTCCCTCCCGCCTCACCCAGGCGGGAGCAGTCATTCAATGATTATCCCCCTTTAAAAAAACCTCTTGTCCGTCCCATTGAAATGTTACATGAGCTTTGCATTACATGATAAATATTAAAGGACGCAATTTTATTTTTGGGACATGTTGGGGAGGTCAGTAGAAGCTTAACCTGAAGTTTGTGGGGTCGCCAACATTGTCCCACGGCCGCCATTTTGAAAAATTTTCTGTTACATGCATAGTTTCAGAGATATCGCAACTTAAGTGTTTTCAGCCCTTTTTTAAGCCAATAATCCCCAACATGTGCAAAAAATTAAATTGCGTCCATTAAAAAATTCAATATTCGGTCCTTAAACTGTCAAACACCAAGCGGTCACCGGTGACCGCAACCTATTGTTCTATAATTGTGTCTACAAAACCGGTACTCGACGAGTTAAATTGGAACATTTCAATGAACTACGAGTAGTTCTGCAGTCCAGCATACTACGGGTTAATCACGGAATTCGATATTTTTTTTTATGGCAAACTAACTGTTGCACGCGACTTTGTCCGCGTAGAATATGAATTTTAGAACATTATTTTTTTTTTCTAAAACAAAACTAGCATATGTTACTCCTTAGTACATCAGCTACCTGCCAATAAAAGTCTTGCAAAATTGGTGCAGCCATTCCAGATATTAGCCAGTACAAACAGACAGACAGACGTACAAAAAAATTTAAAAACATTTTTGGTATGTGTATCATCATACCTATGTATATTCATATGCATGTAGTAAAAAGCGGTTATTTTAATATTACAAACACACACTCCAATTTTATCTGTATAAAGCAATCGGCATCGCCCATGGACTACTACAAAACCATAAAAATTACAAGTGCATTGTCGGCATTAATTGTAGAGCTGATGTCAAAAATCGATCCAAATCCAAAGGGTTGTTATTATTAGGCTTTTATTTATTTAGAGACTAACGCCCGAATATTGAAAGGCTATTAACTTTTAAATTGTAAGTACTTAAATATCGTGCCATCTTTGTCATTAAGGAATTTTAAAAAAATCGTTAATTCTCACGTAACATAATATTAAAAAAGAAATCACACCAGATTCTTAATAAATTCTTATGCCGAAATGCCAAAGAATAAAAGTAAAACTATAACTTTTGTGCCCTATGGAGGTGGTGCACTATTTCGAACGTTTCATCATCTGTCAGGATGGCCGAGCGGTCTAAGGCGCCAGACTCAAGGTTCCCTTGCTCACTGAACGTGAGTTCGAGTTGTTCTGGTCCTCTCTGAGGGCGTGGGTTCGAATCCCACTTCTGACAAAACTTTTTGTCATTTTTATTGAAATTTTATTTAATCTTTTTGGGTAATCTACCCACCGACTACATATGAACAATATTTTAACTACATAGGTATCAGTACTTCTTGTAATTTAATTTGGTTGCTGAAATGCTGTTAAGGTAAGTACATATTTATATTACTTACGCCCGAATACAGAAAGGCTACTCAATTTTAAATTGTACTTAAATATCGTGCCATCTCTGTCATTTTACAAAGAATTTGTGGAGACACAACTACATATACTCAAGTGCGACTTAAAATTGAGTGGTTTTAGTATGAGATTACATACACAACTTCACGCCTGTCTCCCATGGGGGTAGGCAGAGACTATGGAACGCCAATTAGGATGATGACACTTGACAGGGTATGATAATTAAAAATCTAATAAGTCCGTTAGGTTAGGTAATGAAAAAATATTAGACACGTATTTTTTTGTTTTTTCGTATAATAAAATGATACTTCGATAAAACGAATCACAGTTTAGGAGTGGGGGCTAAAACGTCATTTTTACTTATAAAATGTATATAGAAGTGATGTCACGCGACATTTCAAATCAACATATCGTCGAAAGTATTCGTTTCTGTAGGAAAATAAAAAATACGTGTCTAATGATTTAAAATAATCTATCAGACGGACATTAAAATAAAAATTAGGCGTCTACCCTATTACTACGATTCCTACATACCTCTTTTTTCATCATCAATGTTTTCATGCATGCTCGAGAGATACTTAAGAGATTTACACCATCAAATACTAACTATGCCAATGTACCTAGATAATTATTTATCTAGCGTTACGTAACAGGTGTTAGCACTTTAATATCGCTGTATGAGGACTTAGCTTCTAAATCTAATCGACACATCTATCGCAGAACATTGTATTATGATTAATACATTTCATGACAAAACTTGTTCATTGTATTTCACCTATGGATCCTCTGATAATAATGAGTAAGTTTTGTTCATCGAAACATGACACATTTTGCTGATAATTTGGAGTTATTTGTCGTAATACGTTTTATAGGTTCGGCATGGATTTATAATAAAAGGACAAAATTGTTATACATTTATTTTATACATTGTTATACTCAGACATAAATACGTACAAACATAACATCACGCCTTTTATCCCCAAAGGGGTTTTTTTTTTATTTATTTTTTTTTTAAGGGGGGAAAATCATCGAATGACTGCTCCCGCCTGGGTGAGGCGGAAGGGAGTGTCAGACTCTTACTGACTAAAAACCACCCCGTTC